TTAAGTATATGTAATATTGCGTGAATTATTTTTAGATCCTGCATCAATCTTATTCTTGTCATAGTCAGAGGAATTAATGAAACATTCTCAGGATTACCAACATATATAAAATCATCATGGAATGTCTTCATAACCAGTCTAGCAATTAATGCAAATTTATTTATTTTCATGGTATGATTTATATTTTGAGTGAGATGTGAATACAGGTACCTAAACAAGATCAATAAAAAAGAGTAAGATAGCCGGGCGGTGGTGGCGCACGCCTTTAATCCCAGCACTTGGGAGGCTGAGGCAGGCGGATTTCTGAGTTCAAGGCCAGCCTGGTCTACAGAGTAAGTTCCAGGACAGCCAGGGCTACACAGAGAAACCCTGTCTCGAAAAAAAACAAAACAAAACAAACAAACAAACAAACAAACAAAAAGAGTAAGATAATAGTTTATCATAGAACCAGTTTTTTCCTGAAGTACTGAACCTTTGCATGTCAGGGGTTAAGCAGTGCTCTCGGTGGAACCCAGGGCCTTGCAGGTGCTAGAAAGGAGCTACATCATGTCTTCTTTCCAAACTGACTTTTCCAAAACAGCAGCACCTTCCCTGTTGGTCCACCTGGATCGTTAGCATTTTCATTTCCAGTGCTGTGGCTGTCTGCTCACTACTTGGGGGACATTGGCCACTGCAGGCAAGAGTTACATTTGGATGCTAAAGTTCATGGTTGGGAGTGTGATGAGATAGTCTGCATGGATTCAGATCCATCCTGTTAGACAATATCAAGGACAAAGGGAGGAATAGTAACTTTGTGTGGAGAGTGTTACACTCTAGCCAGCCAGGCACACTACAGTGAGCCCTGGATGTCTCCTGTTTCCTGGTAGGATGCATGCACATGAACATCTGTTATTTGTGTTGATAATTGCCAAGCACTCAGGCTGACTTTGAGTCCCGAGGAAGCCTTAGGTATCTAGTCTGAGGATGATCTGCAAACAAAGCGGCCAGTGTTCTAGATGTCCACGATAGCCAGATTGGCCTGGGTTGGAGGAGACATGATGACTTCAGACAGTCCAGGACTCTGGACCAGGAAAAGTACATGTGACGGTAGTTGGCAAAATTTGGATATGACTGGGTGTTATTCAATAGGTTGTATGTTGATAGGTCTGTCCTGACTTTGGTCACTGTAACTGGGGTTCTGTAAGTCATTAGCGTGTAGGGAAGCTTGACCAAACAAGCCTGTGCAGGAATTCTCTGCACACTATTTTTGAAAGTTTGAAAATAGTTAAAAACGAAGTTAAGCAATGAGAAAATTAATACAACAGAGCTAGGAAATAGAGGCTGTGGTGGATGTGCTTTGTGCCAGCACTTTGAATGGGTTAGGAACTTTTCTTTGCTTCAAGATTATCTGTAGTGGGGCTCACTGAGGATTCTGGGTAAGGGATCCTGAAACCAGTGAGTGGTGCCTACATGGAATTTCAGCTCTCTGTTGACAAGGTCTTGTTAAACTAACTAATTAATTAATCTGCTTATTTTTGTATGGGGCAGTAATTATGTATTGGGGTGTCCTGTGACCATGTAGGTTACCTGAGCTTTGCTTGTTGTGGCTCCCAGACTCCCTAACTGGAAATGTAGCCTTGTAAATAACTTAATGGTTTCTGTTTTTATTGGGTTGCTTTGAATTCAGGTGAGTCCAGGGATTCTTCTGCAGTGAGTCATATATTCAGTTTGATATTTTATTGGTTGCATTTTAGGAAGAGCTGATTTTAAAAGTTTTTTTTAAGATTTTTCTTAAACTTGAAATATTATATTAGATGTATGTCTTACTGTTCTCAGAAAAGACAAGATTTTTCATATACATATTAAATAACAAAATACTGTCTTAAGACCCACTTGGGAGCCTTATTGTAGGTTGTCTTAAATAGATTTCTTATGCTGTGATAAAGACCATGACCAAAAACAACTTGTAGAGGAAAGGGTTTATTTGATCGGACAGTTTAGAGTTGTTACCCATCTCTGAGGGAGGCCAGAGCAGGAACTCAAGGTAAGAACCTGGAGGCAAGAACTTAAGCAGAGGCCACAGAGGTGTGCTGCTTACATTACTGGCTTGCTTCTCTTGGCATAATCGACCTGCTTTCTTATACAACACAGAACCACCTGCCCTGGAGCGCTGCACACAGTGGGCTTGGCCCTTTCACATCAATTGTTAGTCAAGAAGATTCCCCCGCAGTTTTGTCTATAGGCCATCTGGTAGAGGCATTTCTCAGTTGAGTCTCCTCTTCCAAGATAGCTGTAGCTTGTGTTGATTGTTAAAAACCCAACCAGGTCATAGGTAATAATTAGAATGGAGGGATTGGACCGAATTGACCAGCATGGAAGGAAGGCTGTGGGTTTGATAATCATAAGACTTACTGCGTTCGAGATGCGAAGTTACCATGAGCATTGTAGAAGCAATACCCAGTCACCTCATATGCATGGCTGCAGCCTTTACACTCTGCATACAGTTGAAAATCTGCTTTGCTTACAAATGCCTGTAACAACGGTAATATTTGTCGGTGACCTGTTTTATAGATTGAGTGGTGTTAAAATGGGCATTTATTGATTGTGATGGTACATATGTGTCATGGCACATGTGTAGGTGTCAGAGAACGTTTTGTGACAGTTGGTCTTCTTTCACTATGTGGGTCCTAGGGATCAAACTCAGGGCATCAGCCAAGTGCCTTTACCCTCTGAGCCATCTCACTGGCTTAGGGCTTTTTGTCAGGAGGTTTTCCCATATCTTGTTAGTTCAGAAAAGCAGATTTTCTTTCATATCTTAGCCCTGTTAGATATGTTGCCCCCAATTTACCAGATACTTGGCACCACCTACAAGACATTTATTGTCTTCATCTCAAGTCATTTGGTACAAATAAATATCACATTTTTTTTTATAGAAGAAAATCTTATGAGACGAAGGGACAAGAAAGCATGTGGACAACCACTGGGGACATTTGTATGTAGTATCCACTTAAGCTTAGGCTGGATGCTTGGATTCTTTGAGGAGGACCAGGTCACTATTCTTGTTTCACTCAATATCTGGAAGACTCAAAGCCAGGAGGGACTCCTGCCTTTAATGGCAGCACTTTGACTCTAAGTCAGGAGTGCTCACATTGGAGGTCTGCTGGATCTTAACAGTAAATTCTAGGCTAGCATGGATTAGATAGTGAGAATTCATCTTAAAACAAAGAAAAATAGGAGAACATAGTTTCTTTTATGCTTAAGTTGGTTTTGAGTTTGCTGTGTGAATATAAGTGAGCATGGCTAATCCTTCACTTGCCTGCTTTCAATTGATCCAGGAAAAAAAAAAAAGAAGTATGTGTATGTATTGTTGTCTGTGGAGAGGGAGGACAACGAAAGCAGCCTTGTTCAAGGATAGCAGTTGGTGATTTGGGGTGAAGGGTCTCTGAGAGTTTGTTGGATCTCAGGCCTTAGTTATTTTTTCTGGCAATTTCAGACAGAGGGACCAAGGAAAGGTTGAAGTGGGTGGGTAAAGTGAATAGGCAAGTGAAGAGGGTATGTACCAAGTGACCTAGAGAGTAGGAGCTCACTGTCAATACATTAGTTGTTCCTTTAATGTAACCTTTTTTCCCGAGCTAGAACAGAAGTCCCACTGGATGCGACGATCTGGATAGGTAAAGAATATACTTGGCTGCTGTGAAAACCTCAGGAAAGTTCTAAATGTGAAATCAGGCAACAGGTAGTTTCTCTTGGAGGGGATAGTGGTTGAGACAGGATTTTTAAAAATTATAATTATTTTTTATGTGTATGGTTATTTTGCTTGCATGTATATCTGTGTATCATGTGCCATACTAGTGCCTGAGGAGGCCAAAGAGGGTGTCAGACTGTCTGGAGCCAGAGTTACAGACAGTTGTGAGTTGCCATGTGGGTACTAAAAACTGAATCCCAGTCCTCTGGAAGAGCAGCCAGAGCTCTTGACCACTGAGCCATCTCTTCACACAAAGACAGGATTTAATTATATAGCCCAGGCTGGCCTCAGACCTATAGTCCTCTTGGCTTAACCCCCTTTCCCGTAGTAGCTGGGATTACAGAGAAATGCAGTTGCACCTGGCCCAGAAGTCAAGCTTTTGAAAAGGATGATTTATGAATCGTTTGTCTTAGTGTTTTATTGATGTGAAGAGACACCATGACCAAGGCAACTCTTATAAAGGCAAACAAACATTTAATTGGGGCTGGCTTACAGTTTCAGAGGCTCAGTGCATTATCATCTTGGTGGGAAGACTGGCAGCGTGCAGGCAGACATGGTACTGGAAGTTCTACATCTTGATCTGGATCCAAAGGCAGGAAGAGGGAGACTCTCATCCACACTGGGCAGGGCTTGAGCATTAGGAGACCTTAAAGTGCACCTACACAGTGACACACTTCTTTCAACAAGGCCACACCTCCTAATAGTGCCACTTCCCATGGGCCAAGCATATTCAGACCACCGCAGGTATATACAAAGATGAGCAAAAATGCAGAGGCAGAGCCATTAGGACTCACCCCTAAGTTCTCTTAGAGCTCAGGTCCTTCTTCCTGTTGAAGAGTCACAGGTTAGTCAGGTTAACCTGTTCCCTCCCTTCATTGGTATTAATTTACCCTTCATTTACTATTTGGTTTCAAAAGTAATATTTTTTTTCTCTTTTCCTTTTTATCCCTTTTTCTTTTACCTTCCCTTCCCACCGCCTCTTCTCAATCCCCTCCCGCTTTGAGGCAGAATCTTATGTACCTTAGACTGATACTGAACTTAGTATGTAGCTCAGACTGACTTTAAACTCCTAATCCTCCTTCCTCCAGCTGCTGAGTATGGGTTGTAGATGTGCCGGCTTGCTGGTATTTGTTTTCTTATTGCAACATTTACATTCATTATCTTTTGCTGTTCAAAAAGAGTTTTCTAAACTATACTTTTTTTTTTTTTTTTTTTTGCTAACTCTCGTTCCTTTTTTTCCCCCATGTGCATGGCAACATTGCTGTCTGGAACTCAGGGGCCAGCCAAAGGTAAGAGTTCTTCACATGATGCTTGTAGAGATTCCTGTGCATATCCCTGAAGTACTGGTCATTTTCTTATCAAAACTGAAAATTCCTTCTTCCTGATGGTTTATAAAAGCAGTATAAGCTGTCATCTGTCTCACAACTCTAGAGCTGTTTATTGGCACAGTGGGTTTTGGCCAGCTCTGCCCAGTCTCCTAGCAGCCCAATATGGGTTCCTTGTGTGCTGTAGATTAGCATGAAACTGATTGTTCCAGACTGGTCACTCTGCACCAGTCCAGCTCATTTTGCTCCTGGGCAGTTGGAGATGTTTTGCCAGACCCATGGGGTCCTGGTGGAGCTCTGATGATGGGGTCCTGGTGGAACCCTGATGATGGGGTCCTGATGGAGCTCTGATGATGGGCTTCCTCTAGGGGATGTACTTGCAACTTACATTGCCAAATTCTGAGACTGCTTTTAAAACTTTTTTTAATTGCATTTTTTTACTATAATGAAATATCTGAAGCCAGGTTCTGTCTTCCTTTCTTTCTCTTTCCCTCCCTCCCTCCTTCCTTTTCTCCTTCCCTCCTCTCTTCCCTCCCTCCCCTCCCTTCCCCTC